TACTGTTGAGAGACAGACCTGAACCCTGTCCTATCTGGTGCCATCCTCATCATCTCTGACACACTTGAGCCCATTGCTGCAGTTGTTGTGTCAATCCATTTGGTTGAGAGTCTTTCTTTCACTGACTATATGTCAAAAAAAAGCTGGTAAAATAAATAAAGCAAGATAAAAACAGTATTAATAATACTGCTATTTTAATACTCCAAAAGTAGCAAGTAAATTTACATCTATGTATAACAACCTGTGGTTGTTACCTAATGCCAACTTGGAACCAACTCATAGTGGGTTTTCAGAGGCAGTTAATTCACACAGCAGGAGATTGCCAATTTTTCTCCTGCGAAACAACTGGTGAATTAGATCAACAAGACTTATACACATATACAAGTAGGTAAATATATATAAAATATATACTATTTTTGGGAGTAGGAGTGGCATCCACTTCCTAAATGGAATGTCTCCGGAAACTCTATGAACTTTGATAAATGTCGATAGTTGTAGACGGGCTTCTAGCCTTTTGTTCATAGGGTTGCTATGAGTTGTGCTAGATTTGAAGTCAATCAACAACAATAATAACATATACTACTTATAAAGAATACATTAAATATTAGTATATTTCATACAGATGTTATATATATTCATATAGATGTAGAGAAATCTATGTTGTTGTTAGGTGCTGTTGAGTCAAGTACGACTCATAGTGACCCTATAAACAACAGATCTGAATCCTGACTTATCTTATTCCATCTGCAACATCTCTGAAACACTGGAGCCCATTGCGGCAGTGAGGGTCTTCTCCTAGCAACATGCCCAAAATAAGTGAGAGAAAATTTTGTCATCTTTGCCTCCAAGGAACACTTTGGCTGTACTTTCTTCAAGACCTATCTGTTGGTTTTTTGCCAGTTCATGGCAGTTCAGCACGCTTGTCCAACACCACAGCTCAAAGACATCAATTCTTCTTCTGTCATCCTTACTCATTTTCTAGCTCTCAGATGCATAGCAAGTGATCTGATAGACCATGGCCTGGATCAGACACACCTTAGTCCTCAGACAAATTCTGCATTAAGATCATTATGATGGCAATAGAAAGATAACTAATAAAGCTTGTACGAGGACCCGGTGGGTGGCGGGTAGGGGAAGGAGAAAGCAGAGGGGTGAGGATGGGCAGGAGGGAAATCACAGAGTTCCAAAATTCAGTGGGTGAAAGAGGGGGCAAAGGAAATGGGAAAGATCTGGCAGGGATCACATGGTAAAGGTGGGCATATTTCAATGATAATTTTATAAAACAATGAATGGGATGCATCAGAAAACTGGACAATGACTAGGGATGATAGAAGGAAAACATACTTTTGAGCTGTGATTCTAGAGAAGAGTATTGAATTTAACATAAACTGCTAAGAGAACAAACAGGTTTGTCCTAAAGAGGGTGAAGCCAGGCTGATCCTTGGAGGCTAGGATTCTGAAGCTTCATCTGATGTACTTTGGACATGTTGCAAGGAGGGACCAGTCCTTGGAGAGGGACATCATGCTTGGGAGGGTGGAGGGACAGTGCAGGAGAGGAAGACTCTCAATGAGATGGATTGATTCATGACTGGTGTAATGTGGGTAGGTGTATCAGAGCCAATAAGATTGGCACAGGATAGAGCAGGATTTAGGGCTGTTGTACAAAAGGGTGCTATGACTCGCAGGTAACTCGACAGCACATAACAACAACAATGAATGGGAATGATTTTATGAAACACAATGTAAATGAAGGCTTGTGTGAGACGACCCTGACTGCAGAATTCCCCAGTGCAATACAACTTCTGATCTCCTGACTGCTGGTCCCAAGAGCGCTATTTGTGGACTCAAGTAGGATGATGAAGTTGTTGACAGTTTCTATCTTTTCTCTATCACGATGTTGCCTGTCAGTTCAGTGGTGAGAATTTTGCTTTCTTGACATTGAGATGCAATCCATATTGAAGGCTTTTTATTCTCTGATCTTCTTCAGCAAGTACTTCATGTTCCGCTCACTTTCAGCAGACAAGGTTGTGTCATATGTATAACACAGGTTATTGATGAACCTTACTCTGATCCTAATGCAATATTCTTCATAGAGTCCAAATTCTTGAATAAATTGCTCAGGATACAGATTAAAGAGGTGTGGAGAAAGGATACAGCTCTGAGGCACACCTTTATTCCATTTTAAACTGTGTAGTATATACTCTTTTTCTGTTCACATGACAGCCTCTTGGTCTAGGTATAGGTTTTCCATGGATACAATTAAGTGTCCTGGATTCACACTCTTCTCAATGTTAGCCATAATTTGTTCTGATCTACACCATCAAATGCCTTTGCATGGTCAATAAATCACAAATAGACATTCATCTGGTATTCCCATGGACTACCAATAGAACAAATTTGTCACGGATAAAATGCAACCAGGGAGCTCCCGAGAGGCAAGGATAGACTATAAACTTGGTCTCACACACTCTGGGTATGTTGTCAGGAGGGGTTAGTCCTTAGAAAAAGACATCATGCTTGGAAAAGTAGAGGATCAGCACAGAGAGATTGTCAAGGATGGCCAGGATAGAGTAGTATTTTGATAATTTACTTCTAGAATCAATATGAATTGAGGTGGACTTGAGGGCCCCTGACAACAGCAACAATAAAGCTGGTAAATTTTAAAAGAGCTGGACAATGACTAAGGATGACAGAAGAAAAATTGATGCCTATAAGTTGTGGTGCTAGAGAAGAGTCTTGAATATACCATAGACTGCCAAGAAAACAAATTGGTCTGTCTTGGAGAGAGTGAAACCAAGTCTCTCCGTGGGGGCTAGGAATTTGAGGCTCTGTCTCACATACTTTGTGCATGTGGCCAGGAGGGGCCAATCTGTGGTGAAGGACATCATGCTCAGAAGGGTGGAGGGAAAATGCAGGAGAGGAAGACCCCAGATGGTTTTCCTAGAGATGAGTTCCAATAAAGAATACAGCCCCCCCCCCAAAAAAACCACCCTACAAGGGCAGCTCAGCTCTGTCAGTCAGATCCGCTCTGACTAGAAAATTATTCCAGGGCAACTCATTGTTGTGAGGTGTCATCTAGTCGAGTATGATTCCTAGCGACCTGATGACCAATTAATCTGAACCCTGTCCTCTCCTGTTCGAGCCACATCATCTCTCACACACTTGAGCCCATTGCTGCAGGCCCTGTAGGAGTCCATCTCATTGAGGCTCTTCCTCTCCTTTACTGACCCTCCACCTTTCCAAGCATGATGTCCCTTTGCAAGAAATAGTCTCTCCTAGCAGCATGCCCAAAATGTGTGAGACAAAGCTTCACTATCCGTGCCTCCTAGGAGCACCTTGGCTGTACTTATCCCAAGACAAATCTCTTTGTTTTCCTAGAAGTCCATGGGGTATCCCAGCACCACAACTGAAAGGCATCAATTCTTCTTCTGTCATACAGGTTTCAGACACATAGCAAGTGACTGAAAAGACCAAGGGCATTAGAATCCATCAGGAAATAGAAACACAATAAGTGTTTGGTTTGTTTTGTTTTCAAATAAGTCCGCTCTTTGAAACTTGTGTGGCTAGGTGGGAAGGGGCAGATTTAAAGTTCATTTTCATTTGAGGGAAGGTTTATAAATTATGCTAGTTTTTCATACAATCTTAGCTATTTTGTTTTATAACACAAATTGCTGTTGATTCATGTGATTAATTACAATGTCTATCTGCCGCTTTTTGTGTATTGATGTTCCCTTCATCCAAGTTACCTTGATATTAATTTCACTCTCCTCCACTTCTCATCTCGGTTATACCTCCAGGATTGAGTCTGTGTAGAAGTTTGATAATAGAGATCTTACACCGTAATAGTTTGTGTGTGTGTGTGTGTCTATGTCTCTCAGGCGGGATTCATCCACTTTGTGTAGTATTTCACAAATTCTTAATTGTTTAGTGGTGCACACTACTTCCCTGTGCAATGTATCATAGTTTGGTTAGCCCTTCTAGCCCTTGATGGGCACTTGTATTGTTTCCACCTCTGTGTTATTGTAAAAAATATTGCCATAAATAAGTGTTTGCACATATTGGTTTGTATCACCGCTGGCATTTCTTTGGGATATATTCCTATAGTGGGATTGCTGGATCAAATGGTCTTTCTATTCTCAACTTTTTAAGAGCGCTAAGAGGCAGATTTTAAAGAAAACCACGCTCCTTTGGCAGAGGTGCTGCGGTCTAGGAAGACTTCCAGAAAGAACCCTTGCTTTGGGAGACCAAATGTGGGCGGAGGGTGCCTTTGACTGCTTCAGAAAGGAAAGCAAGTTCAGGAAGATTAGCGGTGCTAATGAGCACATTTCCGCCCCCCCCCCCCCAAATCCCATCTTTCTTATTTGTATCCATGTAACAGTCCTGGCCAGGCCCCACTCACCTCAGATGGAAGCGCAGCGCCAAGTGTGTGCATTGTCTGGTTCAGGAAATAAAGAACCGACAAAGTGCCTGGCAGTGACCTGGCAGGGACTCCACCCTCTCCGGCCCGGGCTCCAGTCTCAGTAGCCTGGGTTGGGGTGCGGGTGACAGCGAAGGGGTTCGCCTGGTGCGAGCGCAGCCCATGCTGTCTCCGGGTGGGGGCCGCAGCCTTTGTGCTGAGGCTACTCCGGGCTCCCACCGCTGGGGGGCGGCCTCCGCCCCGCCGACCCCCGACAATAGCGCTCGGGGGTGGGGAGCCCCGCGGTCCCGGAAACTTTCCAGGGAGCCTTCGCTGCCCCCGCCAGCGCCCGGGAGCGCGGAACCGGGCGCGCCCATCTGTGGCCCGCGGGCGGTGGGGCGGTGCGCT